CCCCCCCCTCTCTCTCTTGTATATAATATAATATTATCATTATATAAAATAACATTTACATTAAGATTGGTTTCTATGAGTTACTGTACATTGTTTCATTTTGCATTGTGATAAACAAAAGGATAATTGCATGTTTAAAGGCAAGTAAAGGATCTCATTTAAAGTAATATATTCTTAGCGCTCCTTGCATTAGTATGTTTCGTTGCTCTGTGATTGACACACAGGTTAAATGACACCCATCACAAGCTATAGCTCAATTCCTTCAGAAAATGTGGGGTGTCTTGCTGTGTCTGTCTTCAATAAATCATAGACTGAAAAGAAGCATGCAGCAAAATAAAAAGTTAGAATTTCTAATCCATAAACCTGTAGGTTAGCTGCTTGCAAAGTATTGAACCCAAGCAGCCAGGAAATTAGCATTTTCAGAAGGAAAGGTTGGCAGTGATATCCTACAGATATCAGCTTTTGGTAGATGCTGGAGTGTTAAACCTCCTGACAGTTTCTCTGGAGAGATATCTCCATATAGTTCCTAAATCTGTATGCCTGCTGTAGCCATTATGAGCCCCCCTTCCCATCCCTTTTGGCTTTTTATGTATTTTATATTAGAAGATGGACAGGTGGGTGAGAACACTCACATCTTCAAGGTACAGTATGGCAGGGGCATCATGCTGAGAATTAAAGACAGAATATAAAAGAAAACAGGGTTTGACTTGCCAAGCTCTATCTATAACAAAACATATTTTCGTGAACTTTGAGAGAAATTGACTTTTTCTTCATATGTGTGGTGTGTCTTTAAAATACCGCCTATCCGCCTGTCTTCACACGTATTCTAAATCCTCCCACAATGACGACAGAATGATAGAATATTTAATACTGTAGCTATGATAGTATCAGTTAACTGAAGATGTATGTATGTATGTATGTATGTATGTATGTATGTATGTGTTAATCACCAATAAATGAAAACCAAATCACACATACAGACATCAGTATACACAATATGAAAGAAGTGGTAGTCACCCAATTTTCTATCTTTGTCTACTCTGATGATTTAAATTTTCATCATTTTCCAGGGTAGGGGGTTTTATTGCAGAAAACACCTTTCCAGCCTATAAATTAGGCTATCGTGTATGAAATGCTTTCAGCGATCATGGCTGGGAGGGAGGGGGTTAAGCAAAATCATTTGTTTTCTTTCAGCATAATCTCCTGAATTACTAATTGCAGGGCACGGTATTCCGCTGAAAATAGCACAGAGAGCCAGCGATTCTAGAAGCTACATACAGATGTGAATGACATTTCATACTAAACAAACCTTGGCTTTGAGCAGCTCAATAGCAAACCTACAAAGAAGGATTTGATTAGAAAAAAAGATAGAGTGGAAGGGGGGATTCTATCCAGCTCTGCACACAGCCAGCATGTCTGCCCATTTAGACAAGGAGCACCATTATGCTACTCACGGAAGATGTCTTAACTGGAATAGATCATCCTCCATGTCTGTTGTGTGTGTGTTAGAGATGTCCCAATGGATGTCATGGCCTGTCACATTGTGCTGAATTCAGGAGGTCTGCCTGCTGGACAGCTCCCGTGCGCTGTGGCCAAGCAGTAGAGAAGCACAAACAGATGTGTCACACTTCGGGAATGGTTCCTTTTGCCAGAAGTGCTAGCCTAAGAGGCCCTCCTTCCTTTTTATATGTAAAGCAGGCCTCCATTGGCTCCCTGTCATTTACCCACATTGGTTGCTGTGCAGCACTTTCCCATTGGCTTTTCACTGTACCTCATTCTATTGTATTCTATAAGTCAAATGGCATCAGTGAGAGCTGATTGATAAAACTCATCCAAGTGCTTAGGATAGATTTGTATTTCATTACATTAGGTAGTGATGTATGGCTGCAGATGACATGCACCTTATTTACACAGCAGACTCCACTAACACTTGTGCCTCTGCATTTTTAGCCACCTTTTCTTCTTTTTTGCACTTTTGAATGCATTTTGTTTTAGCCAATGAAGGTGAATTAAAGTGCAGCTTGCTATGGGGAGGAGGGGGCTTGCTGTAATGCACTACAACACACAAAAATATATGTTACATGCATACTTTATGTGCTCCCATGGAAGTGTATGGGGCTAAAATGTCGCCTATACGGAGACTTGTGATGTCAGACTGTCGCAGTAGTAAATCTAAGAATCGAGGAATTAGACAATAATATCTCCCCTTGGAAGTATAACACCCCCTCTAGACTACTGGCCAGTATTAATGTCCTAGGCTAGCCAACGTTGGGGCCCATACTGTGTAGCAGATGTATAAAAGTACATTGTCAGTTGGCCCCAGAGGCCTCTCACCGCTCCCCAGGTTGTCCGCAAAGATGATGTCTTTCACCAGAAGATAAAAGTCCCTCTTTCGACGGAACGACACTCAGGGTGAAGGAGAAGTCATCTATGGCCTCTTGCAACACCTCACCGTTTGTCTAGGGTTTCCTGGAACACATCACCACTCGTCTAGGGTCATCTGGAACACCTCGCCGCTCGTCTAGGGTCATCTGGGATCTCAGACACGATCCTCTCTGGCTCCGTCCAGTTCTGCCCACTCAGCCGGGCTGACTCGGTCACTCCAGTAGCAGGATCGGCCACACGACCAGGCCGCGATATCCCAGCCACTGACGCGTCCCTCAGCCCCGGTTAACTAAGAACAGTCTCTTTAACCTCTTGCCGTCCGCCCGATGTAAAAAAACGGACGGACGGCACTGCTGCATCTGCGGGTTGCTGTCTCCAGACGGCAATTTTTTTCTGCTCGCGCGCGCCCCCTAACGGGCACGCACGGGCAGAAAAGACCCGATCAATGCACACACCCGTTACCGGGTGTTTCACATATAGGCGATCAGCGGGTCCATAGCCCGCCGATCATTCGGTAATTTTTCCTTAATATAGTAAAAAAATAAAACCCCCAGTGGTGAATAAATACCACCAAAAGAAAGCTCTATCTGTCCCCAAAAAAGGGTATAAAATTCATTTCAGTACAGCGCTGCATGACGGAATAAATGTCAGTCAAAGTACCGCAGCGCTGAATACTGAAAAATGGCCTGGATGGGAAGGGGGTTTAACACCGCGGATGTCAACTGGTTAAGGGATCCGACTCCGTTGCACACAGAGAAACACGGCTTGTATGGCTGAGCGTCCCTACCGCTCAAAATTGCTTTTAAACTGATTCCTTTTTGTAAGCGCATAAAATAAAAACCTTTTTATTCAATTGAATATCTTGAAGTGTTACACTTAGGAGGGGGAGGAGAGAATAGAGTCCAGCATGGCTATTTGAAAATGGAGCATATAATGGAGGCTTGAGACATGCTACAACAGCGTTTTGGGGCTATCTTGACCTAAGAGCATACTGAGCCCTGAGTGGCATCCAGGAAGAAAAAGATAAGTAGCTGCATTGCCCACAATCTACTGGTTGTTGTTCGGGGTGCAGCAAAGGACTTCCAGGACTTATTTATGAGGGTGTCAGCCTTGATATCTAAAAGTGATTATCTTGTGAAAGTTTAATAATTATTTAACACTTGTGGTTAAGTCACAGAAAAAATATTATTTTGCACGGATCCAGCTTTGCAACTAAGATTTAGTTTGAGTATGTGCACTTAATTTCCTTTGAGTACAAATATAGATCACAATTTAGATCCTTGGTTTTTTTTCACCTATAAATGTTGATACAATATTATATTGAACAATAACAGTCTGGACACTGAAGACAGAATTTAATAATTTATTATTCAACAAAGTATATCACGTTAGAGAAATTCGGATAGACCACATTCACTGATCACAACTCCACTAGAGGAGAGATGGAGCTGTTGTAACAATTTCACCTAGCGCAACATACTATCAATTGGTGAAGTCTCTCAAGTGCTTCGGTGTGTAACCTGTGTGTCCCTGACTATCAAAGGCGACCACACAGCTCGGCTACCAACAGTCTTGGCTCACACTCTCTCACATCGATCTCGACACTTTGGATCCCGGTCCCCGACTGTGCGCTCTCCGCCGTTACAGTACCTAGCCACTCTCCTTCCTCCTGCACAGAACTCTGGGAGTTGCAGTTCTCAAGGTCCTTTCGGCATGTATCCATATCTGCTCTGTACTGCAATCCCCATAAATCTCCGCCCCTCTTTACACACTGAGGCAATTAAATGTTTGCAGTCAAAAATACTGATCTATACAATAGCTCATATATACATCTATATAGGGGCTACATACTCCTCCACTGAGACCTTTGGGTCCCCCAAAGAGCAATTTGAACAGCAAATCAAGCATAGTAAAGATCCACTTTGGCAGATATATCATGTCCCTAAATATTCAATTAACAGATCTCACTAGGCATCATTACACCTGACTTACGGCATAGTTCAATGAAAGTGGAAGACAGCGAGGCCCTCCACCAAGGTGTGTTGATGGCCTGTGCTGGGTATAATTTAGCTCCTCTGTTTACAGAGAAAGCATTCACTTCAGGTGATCTTTGTACTGTATGTAAAGCTTCTTCAGGGCTATGACCAGGTGCATCATAAGTAAGTCTCTGTGGTGGTCGCACCAGTAGTTTTGACCTTGACGCCAACTGCTGGGACTCCACTCTTTCTTCTTCTGATTGAACAACAGTCTCAAAGCACTAGAACTTGGTTCGGGATCGGTGAGACTTTGGGTGACATTTAAAGAATCCATAGGCCACATCCAAGTCAGACACATGTCCTCTTCATCAATGTCACTTTCACTGTCTCTCTCTGGCAGCAATCTCTGAGACCTGGTAACAGGGACTCTTTGGGACGCACGTGTAGTTGGTATAGAAAGTTCTTCACTAACCGACACGCGAACAGCTTAATTCAAAGATAGCAAGTGATTCCGGTGCCAGTTCTTTAATGGTCCTTCCCTTCCTTCAGGTCTAATCTGATATACAGGAAGGCCAGGTAACTGCTTGCAAACAGTATCACCTATCAGCTAATTTATGTCTGGCAGCAGGCCCTAGATTCCTCAGCAGTACTCGGTCTCCTGGCTGAAGATTTGGTGAAGAAAACACCAAATTTCTCCTCAGCCGCTCTACATAGTTTCTGTGAGTGACAGCAGAAGTTTGATCTGCAGACAAGCCGAATGCTATATCTACAGGCAGTCGGGCTTCTCTCCTGAACATGAGTCAGTAGGGTGAATACCCAGTTGCATCACTTTCTGTACAATTGTAGGCATGCACGATAGTAGAGATATGCCGACTCCAATGTTGTTTCTCTTCAGTGGACAGAGTCCCCAACATATTAAGTAGGGTACGATTGAATCGTTCTGGTTGTGCATCCCCTTGAGGGTGATATGGAGTAGTCCTGGACTTCCGGATTTGTAACAGGCTTAACAATTGCTTTATGAGTCTGCTCTCAAAGTCTCGGCCATGATCAGAATGGATTCTCTGTAGCAACCCATAGTGAACAAAGAACTTCTCCACTAACACTTTAGCTACAGTGGAAGCTTGTTGATCTCTGGTGGGATAGGCCTGAGCGTACCTAGTAAAATGGTCAGTCACCACCAAGATGTTTCTTTGTCCACTGGTGTCAGGCTCCAAACACAGAAAATCGATGCATACTAAATCCATGGGACCCTGACTTTGAAGGTGGCCCATTGGAGCAGTTCGGTTAGGTAAAGTCTTTCTCTGTATGCAGCGTAAACAGTGTTGGCAATAGCTCTCTTTCACTTTTCATGTAAGGCCAATAGAATCGTTCCCAAACTAATTTGAAAGTCCTATCGGATCCCAGATGACCATGTTCGTCATGCAGTGCCTTTAATACACTTTTCCTATGTTGCTCAGGGAGGAACAGTTGTAGGCGTTCTTCCACACCATTCGAGGGTCCCCTTCGGTAGGCCACTCCATCCTGAAGGCGCAATTTGTCCCATTCTTTGTGAATCAACTTAGCCTCCTTAGGAGAACTGGTCCATAGTAACTCTCTATTTTTACTTTGCAATGCCTTCAGAGTCAATGCATTCAGAGAGTCTTTAGCCTGTTCCTCTCTCAGTTCTTTCTGACTGAAAATGGGGAGTTCTGAACTTCTCAATTGAGCAGGGTTGCAGTACACCTTAGGGATACCAGCAGCCATCATGCCAATAGCTTCTTCCCCAATGGCTCCTCATTCTCAGTGTTCAACTCCTCCTTGATACATCGCCTGAACCCCTCCTGGGGTCAGATGAGCCCACTCTCCTCTTGGGTCAGAATCGTAAGGCCTCCGAAATAGAGCATCAGCATCCCTGTTTCCGGCCCCTGTTCGATATTTCAGAATGCATTGAAATCCAGACAGAGCTGCTAACCACCGATGTCCAGTGGCATTCAATTTGTAAGTAGTCAAAAGGTATGTCAGCGGAATATTGTCCGTCTTGACCACAAATTCTGCTCCATACCGGTAGTCTTTAGACTTGTCCACTACTGCCCACTTCATGGCAAGGAACTCCAGTTTATGGGTGGGATAATTTTTCTCAGAGGAGTCAGACTTTGACTCACATAGGCCACAGGGTGTAACAATCCACTGTGTTCCTGATTTGTACAGTACTCCTCCTAAACCCTCTCTACTGGCATCAACGTGTAGTTCATAGGGTTTAGAAACATCAGCATAAGCCAACACGGGGGCCTCAGTTAGGCTCTTCAATTTCAAGAAAGCGTTCTCGCAT